GGCGGCTCTGCTGGGACCCGCTCCTGCCTGCTCCTCAGCCGTGGGCACAGCCGGGTGGCTGAGATGATCCCTGCCAGCAGGAGCTCACGCTGACCAAGGGCCTGCTCCTGCCTGCTGGGGCTGCCCTCTTCATTTCTACTAAAAATACCGTTCCGTGCGAGAGCCTGTTGCCTGGCACACTGCTGATGCCCAAACCAACACGTTGGGCTCAAACACGAGAGTGTCTTAACTCTGGCGTGGTGGTGGACATGGTGCAGTACGTATGGAACTATGTCGGCAAAAAAACCAAGTCCAGGGTGGGACGTATCGTAAATGCAGGGAGGCCGATTACTTCTTGCAAATTAATTTTGGGTAATTAACTGAAGAGAAACTTCTCTCTGGTGTACCCGGAGGCTGTTACTTGGGCAGTCTGCCTCACAGTCTCTCCTCCACACGAAGCACACCGTGGCTCACGCCAAGGCACTCGGTGCCTGTTGCAGAGCGAAGCTGCAGCTGAGTGGGTTGTGCCGGGCGAGGGCTGTGGTCTGGGCGGGATGTCAGGCCAGGTCCACGGGGCGCTTCCGTGCCAGCACCAGGTGGGAGAGGAGCTGCCTCCGGGTGACGTCCTCGAATTTCCTATGGAGAGTTTGTTGGGAGACGTGAGCTTAGAGGAGGAGTGGTGCCAGCCGTTGGCAGCTGTTAGCAGGGACGTCTTGCCGAGCGTGAGTCTGTGCTGCCCTGCTCCTGGGCAAGTCAGAACAGCAGGCTAATTAGAGGGAAATGCAGGGTTCGTTAGGCTGGAAGTCCCTAGCGTGGCACTGCGGGAGCGGGGCATGGCGGCTGGAAGGAGTCACCTGCGCCGTTGCAGCTGTTCTGGTGTGAAAATAAAAATAATCTTCCCAGCTGGCGCAATAGGACCCTGTGTGTTTACAGCACGGGTTGTCTTTAAAGACCTTGTGGTGAATTCTGCAGGTCTGAAGGGCGTTAAAATTGGGATTAACCAGATCTTGTGACTCTGGGTCAGTTAAGAAGAAATGCCTGAGCTCCCCTACAGCAGGGCCCGTCAGCGGTGGAGGCCCAGCCCTGCCGATCTGATTTATTGTCACCGTGCCCCTTCACAGTGCGGACGGCTCGGGCCCCAGCTGGTGACAAGGCTCTGGGCAGTGTTTTCCTTAGCAAAGGGGGAGGGCGAGTACCTTGCCTGAGCTCTGAACCCACAGCTGCCTGGACAGTGTGTGCCCCTGGCAGCGGCACCAACCTGGCTGGGTTGTCACCATGGGGCTGGGGTTGCCTTTTGGTGTAGGGCAGCTGCTTCTCTCCCCTCGGATGGTCCTTTGACCTAGGTGCCATATAGTCATATAGATTGAAGTGGGAAGACAAGACAGCTTTGGCAGATGGGAGCTTCTTAGCTCATTGGAGACTTAAACTTGGGTTGTGGTAATACAATAAAAATGTCTCCAGCGGAGTTTCTTCCCTTTCTCACGTGCTTGTTTAATGGAAATGAAAGTGATCTTAAAGTGACAAAAGGAAATACGGGTCTATAGTTCCCCAGCTGACTGCTGCAAGAGGCTGAGATTGAGCGCTTGTGGGCGGGAGGTGAGGTGGGGCTGAATAAACGCCTGTGACCGTAGAGGGGATGCTACAGGGCTGTGCCCGAGATCTCCTCTGGTTTGGGAGCCAGCTGAGCGCTGCTCCGGAGCTGACTGAGCCTTCATCCTCTCCCCAGGACTTCCTAGTGCTCCGAGCATATCAAGAAGCAAGAAAATGCCTGTATGTCTGAGCACCACACCTGCTGTGGGCTGCCCCTTTCCCGCGTTCTCGAGCTGTACGTGTCGCTTCTCGGGCTGAAAAGTGGGTGGACAATTTTAATAAGAGCAGCCAATTTCCATCATTAAGCATTTTTTTGAAAAAGTACACTTCTTCGCTACCTGCCGAAGATATGCTCTGTGTTTGTGCTAAAATGCCTTGACTTCGGGATTGGTATAATGTTCCTGCTCCAGAGGGTGCCTGGAACAGGGGGTGTGGACAGAGGGTAAAAAAAAATGTGGACCAGGCTGCTGCTGCCGCTGGGAGCCTCATCCTTCTTAAGCCCTGTGTGTTTATTCTACCTCTCTAGATGTTATTGGTCTTGTTTCCTTTAACTTCAAGTAACAGGGTGCAAAATGCAGCCTTTGTGGCTGGGTGGCGATGCCGGAGGGCTGCCACGCTTGCTGTAGTCGGAAAATCTTGGTGGGGGGAGGGAGAAAAAGAGAAGTCTGCTGAGTGAGCCCTCATTCCTGGCAGATGGGCTGCAGGTTGCACGTCCCCTGGGTACAGGCAGAGAGGCTGCCCGTCCCTGCCGGGAGCCTGGAGCTGGCCTCCCCAAAAAGCCACTGCCCTTGGGTGGTGGCAGGAGCTAAAACCCCTCTGCTAGCAGAGGGGTTTGAGCAAATCCGGTCCCTTCTGCTGGGTCCTCACACCACTGGGGGGCTGCAGCCATGCTTTAACCTTGTGCTGCTCCTCTGCGGAGGGGACACATGGGACAAAGTGCCTGGAGAAACACAGGTGGGCCAGGACAGTAAAGGCATCTCCCAGCCTTGTGCTGGGCAAGGAGCAGCTCTGCCTGGAGCTGTTCTTCCCACCCAAGGAGGTACTGGGGGCTCCTTGGCAGAGTGTGCTGGGGCCAAGAGGGCCCTGGGTGCTGGAAATCCTCTTCCTTCCCTCCTGCTGCTTCTGCAGTGCTGCTGTAGGCTCCTGATGCGGTCTGTGCTGCCCTTTATCTCATTGATAACAGAAAACCACATGCTTCCAGTTCGTTAGTGAGCAGCAGGAGAGTGATAAGAGGCGGTGTATGGAGGGGTGTCTTCACGCCAGGCGGTGGTGAGTGATGTCCTGCAGGAGCAGCCCGGCTCGTCCCTGTGGATATCGGCTGTGGAGCAGGGTCAAGCTCCCTATTTACGGTTCTTCAGAGCAGCGTTTGGGAGGCACGGCCACTCTGCTGTGCACGCAGCCCGGACTCATTCTGTGGTGTTTTAGCCTCGACTGAAGTCGCTCCGCTATTCACAAGCAGGGATTGCTCTTTGCTCTGCTTGGAGATAAAACACTGCTATGGCATCGCGTACAGCAGTGTGGCTTCTTGTCACCTTTCCCAAACCGGGACGCTGCTGCCTGACCTTGGGGAAGGTGGTGGCTGAGACCTTCTGACAGATTTTTTTTTTTTTCTTGTTGAGATTGATCCTGAGTTTGCTCTCACCCGTCTCGGGCAGTGCTGGAGCGGGTGGCAGCGTGATGAAGGGGC